ACGGGAGTTAACGCCATTTCTAAACGGTCTTGACCTTTCTGTACATCCATTTCGTTAAATTTACCATTAATAAGTTCGTCTTTAAATGATTTTAATAATTTTACCCAAATTTCAGTATGTTCACTTATAATACATGAACTACTGTCTCAATTTTTTAAGATAATCTTGAACGGTTATCTTTAAATCTGAACCATTTACAAGTTTGATAATATCTTTGTCAATTGCTACTCTGTTTGCCGAACAAATGCTGTATAAAATCGGCCAGTTTTTTAAATAATTTTCCAAGCAGCCCGCCAAAGTATCCCAACGAATATCTTGCGGTAGAATTAAAGAAGATCTAACGGCTTTTTTATATTTGGCGTTTGCGAAATGAAAGTTTCGAAATTATTTGCATACTGTTTTTATGTTACTCTTAACTTCTGGAATTATTAAATTTCCTTGTAAGTCACGGGCTAACAAATTAAATATATGGGTAGAGCAGCCATAAGTTATCATATCTTTTTGGTCTAGTTCCTTAACCATATCATTTCTCATTTTCACCACGTTTGCAGCGTTCTCTGTAACTACACTAACAACGTTGCAGTTATACGCATCCTAACATTTTTTCATAACTTCAGCAAATATTCTGCAGTATAACTGTGTCTATAGAACATATTAAGTGAATTCGTTCATATTCAACGTCTATCACACACACTGCTATAATTGGCTCGTTATGCACATTGATCCAACGGTCCAGTGCTAAACAAATGTTCTTGTTAATCAAATTTTCTTTCACTTTTGCCTGGATGGTACTATAAACGTCATCCATTAATTGGTTAGAGTCATTTGGCGGTGTATAATCGGATCGTAGCATACATCTTAAATTTTGAATTCCTGATGTTCTACTGCTCGAAATGAAGTATTTGTGGCGTAACTTGGCTATTTGAATATCAATTTGAGAAACAATAGTGGTAGATGGGGCTCTATTTACATCTTCTTCCGATTCATCATTGAATCTGGATGTTTCTTCTACATCACACAATCTTTCCGTTTCCACCGAAACACATTTGTGTACATGTTGTTTTAAACATGATACTAGTCCCACCATACTTAATTTACATTTATTACATTTAGCTCTAGTATAAATCGTAAGTACAATAGTAAAAGTAGTAAAAAAAAAACTTGTTTTTGCAACCCTGGCAATATGTGTGGCACACATGTGTGTGGCATGTACCAATTACAATCACGATTTGTCTCAAGTAGTAAAAAAATTTTTACGATACTGTAACAACTTTTTTAAATTGATAATTAAAAAATTACATCAATTATTTTTTGTGTAAAAATAATATTTAATTTAAATTAAATATTTACTATTAAATACATTTATAACGGTAACTAATAAATATTGTAAAAAATACATTAGTTTTTTATTGTGTAATAGTTATTTCTATTACAAGTCGGCTAGAAACATAATTACAGTACGAGTGTGGAGAATTGCACGACGAGGTCGTAGACCGAGTCGTGTAATCACACGAGTAAAAAAAAAATTAGTAAAAGTCTTCAAATTTCAAAGATACAGGCCATCAAAGTTAGGAAATTTTAACACATTTTTCCAAATATCTTAAACGCTATTTACAGTAAAGCGCTGAAATTTGGTACAGTATAAATCAATGTCATGTAAAATCGTTAGGCAATTTATGAGTTGGATCGGTCCGCGGGAACAATGCTATACCGGCTGTTCCTAAAGTTTGTTTGCTCAGAACTTATTTATTCTATCATATCATAACCCTATATTTATTTTTGCAGTTTCTAATAGTAAATTTAGTTTAGAAACTTTTATTACTCTTAGATAACATTGATAAAAATCCACCGTTTTCGTGTTAAATGCAAAAATGTTGGGTTCCGATTTCTATAATAGCACTAAAAAAAAAGAAATCTAAGTTTTTGAACATTTTCTTTAGTATTTTTTATTACTTGTCTTGTTATTTTATGTACTTTTTTTATTATTCCTGTTAGTGTTGTCGTTTTTTTTGTTTATTTTTTGTTGATTTTTAATTTATTGGTTTTGGATTCTTTTATTAAACCAACTAAAACAAATTAAAAATGTGATTTAGCTAAATCTACACTTGGACATGTTACATACATAATAGTAATGACAGCTCAGTTCGATTTTCATTTGTCATTGCCAATTCAGATTATTTATTTTTTTTTTTTTAGTGTTATTGAATTCGGAGCCTAACATTTTTGTATTTAATACGAAAACCTTGGATTTTATCAATATTCTCTAAGAGTGATTAAAGTTTCTAAACTAAATTTACTATTAGAAACTGTAAAAATAAATGTAGGGTTATGATAGAATAAAAAAGTTCTGAGCAAACAAACATTAGGAACAGCCTGTATAGCATTGTTCCCGCGTACTGATCCAACTCAAAAATTGCCTAATGATTTTACGTGATATTAGTTTAGACTGTACCAAATTTCAACGCTTTGCCATAAATAGTGTTTAAGATATTTAGAAAAAGTGTTAAAATTTCCTAACTTTGATGGCCTGTATCTTTGCAATTTCAGGACTTTTACTAATTTTTTTTACATGAATCGTCATCATTTTCACTCTAGTGAACTCTTCTGTGGTTACATTTATTCCCCGAGTCATCGAAACACTCTGTATAATGTTGCGGCCCCGCGTAACTTAAAAACCTTTGGTATGTGGCCCTAAGGAAAAAAAGGTTGAGTATGGCTGGTCTAAGTAATAAAATGTTTGTACTCTATGATTTGTTTGCTAAGGTAACTTCATCCGATTAAGGTATACGAATTTTTAACATTTCCTCCTATAATTCCAGATTGGATGGAGATATCAAGATGCCGTTTTCGCTAATAGTTAGCAAATTTTATGCTGACGAAGGATCTGTCAAGTAAATAGTACCGTTCCATTTCACATTTTTTTAATTCACAAATATAACCAATCGCTGCAGATAATGCACTCTCTAGCTTATTTGTTTTAAACCAAACGGTCTTACTAAAAATATCTTTTAAAAGTACATAAAATGCTCTTTCAAACATGACCAAAAATATTCAAATCGCTTGCAAGGTCCAGAAGATATTAAAATGTAAATATTTACATATTTGAAAACGCATTGGCATCCCCCTACTTTGTTACAACAGCTATGAGAAATGTCGCAAAGCAAAAACGATGGGGTATTATCCAAGCTATCAAATGGTGTTGTTAAAGTTATAGCTCATCACCTCAACTTTCCAAGATAGCGGGAATTTTATATTTGTTTATGGCAGTAGCGCCCTCTAACGGTCGAATTACGAATTTCGAAATAATTTCCAGATATTTCTCTTGCCCATTTTAGTGATCAAGATTTTTCCCCAAACTTCTAGGCCTTTTATCATTATCGGAGGTGGATACATAGTAAAAAAAAATGTTTTAAATAAATAATGTTATAAATAAAATACCGCGACCTGGAATTTCCATTTTGGATCTTATGGAATATTACTTGAACAATGTGTAACTGAAAGTATCTGTATTTTAATGGCGGTTAAGTAATAAAAAAGTGTAAATACTTTGGAAATTTACCCCATCTGTGTCAAAAAACATTTTCTTAATTAGGTACATAAACTTAAGGGAATATAATAAACAGTAATAGGTCCAAATGAGTTAAACCTTATCCTTTTTTATCTAATTAGTCATGTAGGTCACTTTGACAATAAAAAAACTGTACTTCTTTAATTTTAAATATACATGTAAAATATGTAAAGGTACAATTATACCTTCGCCGCCTTTAAATTATTAAAAAAGTTAACTAAATAATTACCTGTAACCATACAATTATATCTTGTATAACCAAAATATTAAATTCATCTTCCATCAAAAATTTTAGAAAATTCATTCGACATAATTCTGTTGTATTTGTGTGTGGATCACATAAAACATATAAATAAACTGGTCTAAATAATTCGTTTAAGCTACTTTTATATCTAAAAAGTAATTTTAAATGTTTTTAATCATGTTATAATTATTATTTTTACAAACCTTTCATTTTCAACATCATTAACTTTTTTAATACAACTCAAAACAACGTTCCAAACACTTCCATTATGAACTAAAATGGAAATAATGGGGTGTTGAGGTATCGCTAAATTAAATGGACATTTATAATATCCATTATCTTGCAATTTTTTTTCCATATCCATTATTAATAAATCAAAAAGTACTACTAATAACCCTTTATGGTTCCTAAAAAATACAAAATTACATGTATTAATTAATAAATGTGGTGATTAAAACATTTACTGTGCGAAAGGTATCATCGCAGTTACTTCAGACATCATCTTTGAAACTTCTATTAAATTCCATTTCACCAGTTGAATTACTCCATCTGCCGCCCCACAACTTATCGACGAATCTCCACTTAAACATTTATTTTTTAAATACTTAAATTCAGCAAATTCTACACAATTTTGATTCGAGTTTATATTTTTTTCGTTTAGCTTCGTTTTAATTAAAACTGTTATATCAGAAATGGTTTTAGCTGTTAAAACGGGATTATTTTTGGATAATTTATAATCGTATTCTTCGTATTCCATAGTTTTTAATTTGTCTTCATTAAAAGAAATTCATACGATAAATTTATTTAACTTTTTGAGGTTATGTCAGGTTATGTTGTAATGTTTATTTCAATGAAGTATAGCGCCATCTATCGTTGAAAAAACAAATAAGAATCAATCATATCAATATAAATATTAATTTATTTCATTTTTAATTTAATTAATATTTAAACTATATCGATAGCATTCTTTGAAATTAATCCAATAATCACATTTTTTAAGTGTTATTTCTTAATTTTTTAATAAATTCGTTGCAAAAAAATGTAGTGTCATCTATTGTTATAAAAAGGAAACACTATTAATTAATTAATATATGAATTTATAATTAATTAACTAAATTTTAATTAATTTAATACAATAACATCTTAAATTTAAAAAAAAATTATATACGTAACTATTATAGTGTTACGCATGCGTATTAGTGATACCGTCACTTTTCAGTATCAACGGTATCAACCATAACCTGCTTATTTAGCAACAAATTTATTACTTCGGTATTTATGCTTTACGAATGTTCTTATTCTTGCTTAAATTTAATGATAATAGTAAATTATCATTATTGACAAAGCATCAATATCGTTAACTCGTATCAAATTGCCGAAATGGATTTGCTAAGAAACTTGTTAGATTCAAAACCTATTGTTGTTCCTATGGGTGTTGTTAATGGTCGGATACAACATTCCATCACTAATGACGATCAATCAAGTGAAGAAGAGCAGCAAGAAGATGAACAAGCTTATATTGAAGAGTACAAAAAACAGGAAGAAGCTTTATACGCTGCGAATCATTTAAATTATGGGGTTATACAAAAATGTTTTTTTTTAGGTAGATGTTTAATCTTTTCTTTATTTTTTAGGGTCTTTCTGATATTGATGATGAACCAGCTGGAGCTTCAGTTAACCAAACTAAATCAGATTTAGTTCATGAAATATTCCAAAAATACCCTTTCATTCCCAAAAATGATTCTTCTCTTCCCATTTCACATTACAAATCCGAGATTATTGATTATTTGAATAACAATGAAATCTTGATTATTCACGGCCCCACAGGTTGTGGGAAAACAACCCAAGTCCCACAATATATTTTAGATCATTGTCAAAGAAAAAATGAGTATTGTAACATTGTGGTAACTCAACCTCGCCGTATAGCAGCAATTAGTGTAGCTAGAAGGGTTTGTGATGAACGTGGTTGGCCACTAGGTGCAATTTGCGGGTACCAAGTTGGTTTGGAAAAACAGCGTGGTGCTGACACAATTCTTTCTTACGTTACAACAGGCGTTTTATTACAAGCTTTAGTTAAAGCAAAAAATCTTCATAACTACACACATATAATAATAGATGAGGTCCATGAAAGAAGTCAAGAAATGGATTTCTTGTTATTACTGATTAGAAAGTATCTTTACACAAATTCATTTAAAGTAAAGGTGAGAAAAACATTAACTTATGTAATAAAATAAATCTTAATGTAACAAAAACATAAAATATGATGTAGGTAAAAGTAAAAACTTTTTGAGAAATACTAAAATGTTTAATTCAATTCAAGCAGACATGTTTCGAAACTAATGGTTCATCTTCAATACTTAGAATACTATACAATATAATGGAAAAATATTTTGTTAGTAGGTGGGGTTTAGGAATGGATCTAAATTTCTTTCAACTTAATTTACAAACAAAAAATTAATTTAACAAAATCAAAAAATTTCAATAATATAGTTAAAATCTTGGAAGATAACATATTGGATATACATATTTCTTGGAAGGTAACATATCCAATATGTTACCTTCCAAGATTTTAACTATATTATTGAAATAAAAATAAAATTGAATAAAAAAAAACATTTTAGTATTTCTCAAAAAGTTTTTACTTTTACCATCATATTTTATTATATTAGAGAAATATGGAGAATTTCATCCCATTTATAACAAAAACATTTTAAGGTGATTTTAATGTCAGCTACTTTCGATACAATAAAATTTCGAGATTATTTTAAACACACTGTTGGAGGTGAAACCACGCAATATCCGATGTTACACATAACGGAAAAAAGTAAATACGACACCCAAATTTATTATGTCGACCAATTTGAGTTACTACATCAGGTTCGAATTAATATTGTTTTGTTATTTTTTATCTAAGTTTTGAAAAATTGATTAGGTGCCATCAATGAATATTGATGATCCAAAGATTCATCCAAATTTATATCAAATGTTAGTTCCTTTAATTCGAATTTTTGATAAATTGGATAGAGATGGTAATATTGGAAGCGTTTTGGTGTTTTTACCAGGAATATTAGAAATTGAGACGGCTTATTCACATTTAACTGATCCTAAATTACAAGTGTAAGTATTAAATTTAATTTGATGTTATGATAATTTGTTTGATTTTATCTTTTTAAGTCATACAATGGCATCAGAAACTCAATGGTATATTTTACCCTTACATTCTTCAATTACAAATGAGGAACAAAGAAAAGTTTTTATTCCAGCTAACCCAGGTTATAGAAAAATTATATTATCTACTAATATTGCTGAAAGTTCTATAACTGTTCCTGATGTAGCTTATGGTAAAAATAATAGCACTGATGTGAAATTGGTCATAGATTGTATCCATATTATTTAAGGTAATCACAAAGAATATTATTTGTGTCTAAACAAAGAAAATGTTTGGTGTAATGCATCCTATTTGAAATTGCATGTTGGTTTTTGCAACAAGCAGTTGTTTTGCAGTTCTTTAATATATTGTTAAATTTGTATAATGCCACTGTTTTAAAAAAACAGTCATAAAAGTTAAAAGGCAATGATAGTAAATACAATGAATTAATTAGTTTCTATATTCACCTTCTTTTAGGTGAATTTGGGTGTCAATTTAAATTTAAAATATTAAATTATAGTAATATTAGACCCATACAGGAGAATAAGACCAAGAATCTTTGAATTAGAAATGAGAGTCAAAACAGATTAGAAGTTATTCATTTCAACAAAGATTGAAAACTAATTAGACTTACTAGTTACATGGGATTGCCATGTCTTAACAACAGACAGTGTGTACATACGTCCAAATGAAGCTATTTAGTCCATACATTTCTTTAGATATAATAAATAAATCCTTCATTGCCTAATTAATTCATACAAAAAATATACTGCTTATCACATTCTATACATCTAATAAGTACAATAATACAATTTAGTACAAGTAGCTTGCAATCGATGTTATGTGTTGTAGGTTATTAATGTTAGTACAACCGCCACAGTGTTAGGATGTTATGAATATCTGGCTAAAAATCTAATTACAACTAAATGAAGTTGAAAATGTTTAATACTATTATAATATCTCCTTAATGGTTAGCTAGGATTTATTTCAGCTATACACACTGCTTCAAACAAAATTTAGGATTTTGAAATGAATATTTGAAAATAAAAGCGAAACAAAGGTTTTGTTGTGGGTTGGGTTGGATGTTTAAGCTAATGTAACTCCGAAAACATGGTACATTTATTTCATGTACCCTAACAATAAGTAATATATACTTATATACTATAATATATACAGGGTGTCTCACGTAACTTTTTCGTTAAAACTTTTTAAGGTTCCACTATTCATAGAGGTTTGAAATTCTGGTAGCATAGGTTGTTCATTCGGAACTTTCGATCTAAAACCTTTTTAAGATGGCTGCCACTTCCGGAAGTAGACCATAGCTTCGGTATTTTCAATAGAATGCTACAGTTTTTATTACACTTTTTAATTGTAAATTAAAAAACAATTTAAGACAATTAACCTATATTGTCTCTATTATTGTGTATTCTTGACATTTTTCTGAAAAAGTTCTCTCTATACCTTCTAAGGTCTTTATTCCGAGTTTCTTGCGCATCTTCTGAAAGCAGGCCAATCTGGATACTTAATGATTTTATTATTAAGTGGCCATGCACAAGAATTTTATGCACTGCCACAGACATATAATACCAATTGATTGTATAATGGAATTGTGTTTGTAAAATTTTAAATACAGCAGTGTTCATTTCTTGATAATAATTTTTGTGAAATAGGCATCTGGTTTGGCATTTTTATCTGAATCGTGACTCTTTTTTAAAGACGCACGGTTAAGCCCGAAAGCTTCTAGTTCTAGATATAATAATAGAGTTAGTACTAATATTAATTCATAAAAAATAATTATTCTGTAAAATAGGTAAACGATTGATAGTTTCAAAACTAACTTTCAGTATTCACTGTCGAATATCCGTAGACACCATGCTGTATATTAGCCATTTTATTGAAAATGCGCAAATATGCGCAATTTATTTTTTTTTGAACGGAAAATATAGGCTTGAAACTACATAAAAACAAATTTCAACCTGAGATCTTGTGGGACTTTTTTTATAGCTTAAATGAAAGTTTAACATTGCAAATTTTAATTTTTAAACAGATTTTGTTTATGAACAGTGTTGAGAAAAAGATAAATAAATCCAGCATTCAAGAAGCTATTACAGTGTTACATAAACAACACATACAGTATAATATTATAGTGAAATTTCATAAGGGTACAACTTTTAATATGTTTACAATCGTTTCTCAATATTAATCAAATGTTTTTGGAAATTGATATGCAAAATAAGTGTTAGGTTTATATGTCATTTTTGTCCAGAGTTGAAGTTAATAAAAAGTGGTTATTGCGAAGTAGCGAGTGTTACGATATATCTTAACCATCCCCATTTGCCAAAATATTAAAAAAGAAAATTAGTAAAATCATGTTATGGCCGGTAATTTCAAACTTGCTAACACTGTGAGCCGGTACGGTATTTGTTGAGCCAAATTTCTCAGAAAACCACTACGTCAAATTCTGGGAATCTAACATTCGGTATCCCAAAAGTCATTAGCGGCGGCATAGCAAGTGGGTTTTTATACTTGCAAAAAGCGTTTGTTTATCGTGAATTGCAATCGATTTACGTAACGTAAGTTGTTTTATGCATTTTCAGTGTAATTTCTTATGAAAAATCAATGGAAGTGAAAAATAAAAGACAGAAACTTAATCTCAGTCGGTATTATATTTAAGGTCTATCATTATTTTAAGACAATTTTTCCAAATGAAAATAAAACAGAGTTAAAAAACCGTGTTTTAAGTGCTACAGGAGCATCTCTGGCAACTATACTCAGCGGCATAAAAAATACATTACCTAAAATGATGACCAGTTTCAAAGTGCAATAACTTTGGAACGTATTGTCCGATTTGAATAAGGTTTTATTTATTTGAAAAGTCTACCCTTTGCCAATATTTCTGTAGGTGCCTTCCCCATTTTGGCACTCTCCAATTTCAGCAATGGCGAATAACGCTAATGCGTGTTTTCTTCCTACATTTTGAAGCTTGCTGTGGGGTGCACCGACAAAAGATATTAATTTTAATCATAAGGAACTTGTAGTCTTGTTTGTTCTTCTGTTTTTTGTTCAAGTTTCTATTGTTGTTAACACCAAAGTTAAAAGCTCTAAAGGATAAAGCAGCTTCTTCGACAACGCCATAAAAAATTAAAGCAAGTCATAGATTTACACACAGGTTGCGATTTACAAGCTTCAAACAATGGTGATGATAATATAACATTCAGTTCTCCTAAAAAACGTAAGAGAATGTGCACGAAAACCAACATACTAGAATGGGAACAAATGGATATTGGAAACATGATTTATAATTTCCATAAAACCGAAGGACGTCGCGTTACTCTTACACAATTACAACAAAAATCAAGTGTGGAATATGACTTTCCGAGAAAACGTACCTACCTCAATGCAGAAAATTATCAAAAACCTTGGATTTAAATGGAGGAAAACTAAGAACAATCGGCGGTTGCTGATAGAGAAGAATGATATTCGTGCTTTAAAGTTTAATTATTTGGATAAAATTATATATTATGGGAGCCAAGGTAGACCTATTGTCTTTTCAGATGAAACTTACATTCACGCAGTTTACTAGTCCCAATAGTTGGACAGACTATACCACTAATGTTTTACTATCACCCATATCGGCAATCGATTAGTTATTGTTCACGCTAGTGGTGAAACGGGTTTCATACCTAACTGTCTCTTGATTTTTAAATCTGGAGTAAACCAAAGGTGGAGACTACCATAGCAGTTGAACTCGCAAAATTATGAGACGTGGCTTACAGAGAAGCTAATTCCAAATCTTATATCATAATGTACAAGTACATAAAGCACCTACTTGCAATTCAAAAAAAGACCACCCCGATTTAAATCCGATTGAAATGATATGGGCTCAAGTTAAAAACAAAGTAGCGAAGAGAAATGTATTATTTAAATTAAACGTTTTAAAAACTCTGACCGAAGAAGAATTTTCGTTGGTTACTATTGAAGACTGGTTGAAGTGTTGTCAAAATGTTGTTAAACTTGAAAATAATTATTTAAAAAACGAGGTTCGAATTGACGAGGCAACAGAAAGATTAATTATTACAGCTTCTGATAGTGAAACTTGCAGTGAGGACGTTTTTTAAAATTTATCAGATTAGGAGCTGTGGGTCGGCTAATTCAATAAAATTTTCTTTGTTTGTTTTCAAAAAAATTTACGTTATATTTTTTATAACTTCATTTTTCACAACAAAAGCTTGCTGGAAATCCGTTAATTAGTTTCGAAGATGTTCACCAAAAGTGCAAAAAAGCCGTGAATAACCGTTGCTTTCAGAGAATAGAATGTTATTGATTTTTTCCTTTCTGGGAATTTTGGCTCGACAAATATCGTACCGACACTAAGTCTTGTAGCGTAAATGCGTTCTTTGCCATTTCCTATGGTCAGGTGTCTGAAGGTGTCAAATTTGGTGACAGTACTGGCCAAGACAAAGGTTTTCTAATTGAACATATACCAAATGTTTCTCCCAGCAATATTGAAACATTAAGGAGAGAGATACATTTAGGCGCGCGAAAATAAGTGTTTTCAAGATTTTTTTTCTTATTTTGTTTATTCATTACTCATGCTTTGTATGTTGTGATTTCTAACTTTTGATGAAACGACCTCAATAACGAGTAGAAGGTATGAAATTCACTTAGACTACATACGGTTTTGTTCCTTGCGCGCTTGGTCTAAGTTCTTGATCGGCTATGATTACAAGCGATGTAATGATTGTGTACCACAACAAATTGTAACTGATGCGAAACACTATTGGCTTTATCTCAAACGTAGACAAGACAACAACGGTAATTTTGAACAAGTTTGAAGCATCGAATAATGATGATATCTATTCATTGTTTACCAATTACTGGAACGTTGTTTAGTTCCAATAAGCAAGCAGTCTATTTGGGTGCATAGAAGCGGCCCATTATTACCCCTATTTAAAATCAGACGCCCGCAATTTAGTTGCCAAGTTATATCTTATGGATACAAATTGTGGCTAAATTCACACCAATATAGTAATGATAAATTATAATAAAAGCAATTTATTATCTTTTTGTAATTTTTAAATTTAGTGATTGATTTTTGTTTAACTAAAACAATGGTGGTTAATCCGATTACAAAATATGAAAGTTTACAATTGCAATGGGCTTCTCATATAAATTGCACTCAAAGAACAGGAAGAGTTGGACGTGTAAATGATGGTAGAGTTTATAGATTCGTTTCTAGAAACTTTTATGACGTAAGAACTTCATTTAATACGAATTTTACGAATTTCAAAATAATTTTTTTTTCTTTTAGACTTATTTATCAAAAGAAATAATACCAGAAATGCTTCGAGCACCACTCGATAGAATTGTTTTAAGTTCAAAACTTCTCGAATTAAATGATCCACCAAAAGCTATTTTAGCTTTGGCAATCGATCCACCGAATTTATCAAATATCCAAACGACAATTTGGTATCTAAAAGAAGTAATACTTAAATAATCAAATCTTTCTTAAGTTAAATTAAAATTATTTTCAAGGTTGGCGCTTTAGCTTTAACATGCAGGGGCGTTTCAACAAATTGCGACGGAGATTTAACATATTTAGGAAACGTTATGGCCAATTTACCTTTATGCGTCAATTTATCAAAATTAATTTTTTTGGGACACATGTTTTCTTGTTTAACAGATTGTATTGTAATGGCTGCCGGTTGTTCATTATCAAACATATTTTCAACGCCGTTCCATGAAAAATTATCAGCGTATCAAAATATTTTACAATGGGCCGATGGATCCAGTAGCGATTTAATCGCTTATTTAAATTTATACAAAGTATGGGATATGAAAAGAAAAAGTAATGCATTTAATCATGCCAATAGCGAAAAATCTTGGGCGAAATCGAATTATATAAATTTAAGATCATTAAGGGAATGGTCTATTTTAGTGGATGAAATCACAAAACGTTGTGCACAAATGGGTATTATGGAACCGATAGGTGAAAGAACAAATGTTATAAGTAGTAGAGAAAATGCTTTGTTTTTAAAGGTTAGCTTATAATTGCAGAATAAGATTAAATATTTTATTTAATTTAAGAAATAAAATAATTTTTCATGCTTGTTTTTTATTTTTTAAGGTATGTATGGCGGGTGCTTTTTATCCAAATTATTTCAAGAAGCCTGCACTGAATGGAAACGAACGTGAAACTCAGGCAGTTCGTTTACTTGGTGGTAAAGATCCATTTAAAACAGTATATTTTACTAATATGGATAAAACTCAACCAGGACCGTTGTACGCAAGGCGTATCAAAGAGCTTTTTAAATTTTGTAAAGGAACGACCGACGTTTCTTTCGATCAGAGCTAGTAATTTAAAATTATTCTTTGCAAAAATTGTTGTTATACTCATTATATTTTTAGTCGCGTTTATGTACAATTTAATTTACCTACAACGAATGAAATGGATTATGGAGGTAAAGATCCTATCGCTTCAATGCCAGGCAAAATTTGCAAGGAGGTTTATTGTGCTGTTAAAAGGCGACAGTTAAGAATGAGCAATGAAATTAGATGTTTGCCGTAAGTTAATTAATTAAGAAAAATAATTTGGGTGAAAATGAGAAATTAAGTTATTTCTGTTTTTTTTTTGTAGTGCTGTTGAGTCTTGGAAACGTGCTAAAGAATTGGGGATTACTGAATCTTCTGGGATATGCTCTTTAGTTAAGAAGGCTTCTACTGGTGAAACGATATCTGTTTTACCATCTTTAGGGATACAGTACATTAAAATTACTATTACTATGGTGAGTAATTTATGATTTTTGTTATTGTTGAGAAATGATATGAAACAGGTAAACTTTTATCACATATTTTCTTACAATTTAATTTTGCAATACATTTATCTCTATTTTGAGTTAAGTTTTAGAATATTTTAGAATATTTAAATATAGTGCTGTGCGAAATAATAGGTACGACGTGAAAATAGTCTTTAAATGTACGAAGGGTTTCACGTCCGGTTTTAATTGAACTAAAACTAATACTAGCACTATCACTACTGGACATAGAACTAGGGTCCGACCAAAACCGATGTTTACTACCGAAATTCGGCTTTTGTCTTAATTACAACCGAAACCATATGAGAAACATTTTTAGAGGTAAATAAATGACAAAATCCAACGATTTTAATAATACTGTATTCATTACAAAGTAAATGACTAATCTTAATGGTTATAATTAAATAGAGGTATATTATAATTTCAAAATAAAAGTTTTTCAATATTTTCCCCTAATAAATTATTGCGGCGATTAGCAAATACTAATTAGCAGCACCAAAGAGTGAAGGGTATGGGCTTGAATTCCATAACTATTGGAAAATACTATCATTTCTTTGCAAGCGTCGGTGTCGTTTATTTATATAACATTTAAGAATTTGATCTAACAGTGATTCTTCGTTATTAGATTGTTCGGGGGAATTATCCAAATCGTGAAAATCCCATAATCCTCTTTTCTCTAGTCAGGGGAACCTTGAGGTGATGAGCTATTTACAGTATTTTTTCTATTTTGGTCTCCATTTAATAAATTTGTTATTTCCTTTGTAGTGTATCTGTTACTGGCAATCTGTATAATCCGGTATTCTATACATTACCTAGGCATTTTATAGAATACCTAAAACGTTTAGGTAATGTATGAAATATTATTAATTTTATACTTGGCCTAGGTATTCTATAAAATACCGAATGCGAAGCAGGCAATGTGTGTAAAAGGCGAAAGCAGGGAAGGGGGAGACATGTGGCCATGTAGTAAACAAACGCGCAGCGACTTGTTTTTGCTTGCATAACCCCGGGATTATTGGTTATTGAAGCATTATGATTTTATAACTGCTGGTCAAAAACATAGGTTAATATTTCCTGTGAATACCCCAAATAACAATATTATATATTACGTTGCTGATAGTGAATTATTCCAAGTACTTCACGAGGCACATCAAAGTATCGGCCATGGCGGTCGAGGCCGTATGCTGAACGAGCTTTCTACACGATATAAGAATATAACTCGCCACGATGTTGAACTATATCTGCAACTTTGCGAACCGTGCCAGCAAAAACAAAAAGGAATAAAAAAAGGGATTGTCGTCAATCCCGTACTTTCATCTGAATTTAATTCTCGACGTCAAGTAGATTTGATTGACTATCAATCTCATCCAGATCGAGAATATAAATTTGTAATGGTCTATCAGGATCATCTCACGAAGTTTGTAATATTAAGAGCACTAAAAACTAAACGCGCAGAGGAAGTAGCTTACAATTTACTGGATATTTTTACATTGATTGGCGCACCAGCGATCCTACAATCAGACAATGGTAGAGAATTCTCAAACTCAAATTGTAAGCAGTCTTAAAACGTACTGGCCAAGTTTAAAAATTGTACATGGTAAGCCTAGACATTCCCAACGTCAGGGGAGTGTCGAACGAGCAAACCAGGACATCGAAAATATACTAACAACTTGGATGCAAGATAGTGACAGTAATCGTTGGAGTGATGGTCTTCGCTTTGTACAACTCATGAAGAATAAAACATTCCATTCAGGCATCAAAAGAACACCGTACGAAGCTCTTTTTGGATCTAAAGTAAAAGTTGGTATATCTTTACCTCTCGATGATACTCACAACCTGGAGAGTGAAGAGGATCTAGAAAATGTGATTAAGTCATCACCAAGTATTCTGATTCTTTCAGAATCTTTAATAGTAGATCGAGCTCGGACACAAAATCAACCTCTAGAGGCTTAACATCAACAAAGCCCCGTCATAGAAAGTTCTGAGATCCGTAATGAAGTTTCGAATGCTTAAAGTGCGTTTGATGAACATAACGATGAACACATGACTATCCAAAGTGCCGAGACTCTTGATGAACCTGTGAATGTTGAAAGTCTTCCTTCTGAGGTACATGGACAACCCTTAGATGTTCTGAATTTTGTATCAGAACGTGAGCAATCATTGGATTTCCTACTCTTGTGCTGTGTTGGTACTGAGGCGACAACGGGTGCTCATTCGTGTAGAACATGCAATAGACCCATTCATGCTATTTGTGCTGCTCCGGAGAAAGATATGGCAGAAGGCTATGGTTCTAAAGTTGTTTGCCCATTATGCTTAAAAAACGCTTTAGCTGTACAGAACCGCATCAGTTCTAAAGATAATTTAACAGAGCAAACTCAGAAAATGCTTCACACTTTTGGAAAAAAATTTCCCCCTGTGCCATTGGGTACCACTGTAAGAATCCCTGTTTCGGAAGTCGACAGAGGTCGTGGTGATGCTCGCAATATAATAATAATAATAATAATAATGTCTTTATTCGTACCAACATCAAATTAACAAATTAAATATTCTATACAAAACAAAAAAAAATGAAATAAAATAAAATACTAAATTCACTAGTAAATTATAATAGTACGAAATGGCGAAGTTCAGTGCCGAGACACTGCTCAACTTAACCTTAAATTCCATTATAATAATATTCAAAAAATTCCAAAACGTTCAGCAACAAGCGAATAAACTAGATATATAAAGAAAATAATTAAAGAAATACCTCTGCCAGTACAGACAGAAACGGAAAAAAAAAATGTAAAAAAAAAGAAAACTAATACTTAATAAATGCCACCTTCGCCTTACATTTAAATAGTTAGGATGGCCGTCTGTTGATCAAGTAAGCAACCAAACACTCGCTTTTTAAATGAGGAGACGCTTGCAAGCAGTTTCGTTTCAGTGGGTAAATCATTGTACATCTTTACAATCTGATAACTGAAGCTCCGTTTAAATAACTCCGTATTGTGGTTAGGAGGTGACAGAGCCCCCCTGAATCTCAAATTCAAGTTATGAATGTCAGTGCGATATTGAATTTTTTGGCATAAATATTGAGGCTTTTCTCTCTGAATTATGTTGTAATAAAACACACAACAATGCAGCTGCCTCCTACGGACCATATTAAGCCATTTTACCTCTGTCAACTTATGTGAAATTCTGTCATACTTCCTAATCCCGAAAATAAATCGCAGACAGGCGTTCTGAACCCTCTGTATGCGCTGCTCATCGACCCTAAGTAAAGACGGCCCATACACCACATCTCCAAAATTAAATTTTGATAAAATCAGCGCATTACAAAGTAGAGTCTTAGTGTTGACAGTGAGAAGATGGCGAGAGGGGTACAGAGCTTTTAGTTTACCAAACGCACCCTGAAGCATACTTGACACGTGACTCCGGAATCTCAAATCCGAATCCATCACCAACCCTAAATTACGTGCTTCAGATACAATGGGGAGCGTTGATCCGTTGACCGTTACCCTGACATCTCCACCATAACGCAAAATATCCATTTTTCGGCCAAATATCATAACTTTTGATTTATTCGGATTGATTACTAAACTGTGATGGTTGGCGGCAGACACCAGATCCGACAATTCTATATTCAATAAATTCAGATAATGTTGTTGTTCTTGAGGTTTATATGATATATACACCTGAGTATCGTCTGCGTAAAAATGAACTTTGCAGTACTTAAAAATATTACTTAAAGGTGCTGTGTAAATTGAGAACAGGGTTGGGGAGAGCACAGAACCCTGCGCCACACCCGACCCAAGAAGGCGTACATTAGATTGATGGTTAGACAGCTGCACGTATTGTTGACGACCACTTAAGAAATTCTCAAAGAATGCAACTGCTGAATCTTCCAGCCCATAGTGCTTTAAAATAGTTAGTAAGAGGTTGTGATTTACTGTATCAAATGCCTTCGTGTAATCCAATAGAACAAGTATAGTCATGTACCCTCTATCTGTTGCACCCATTATGTCATCGATTACACACGTTAAAGCAGTCGTACAACTGTGACCATGTCTAAATCCAGACTGAACCGAAGGAAGGATGTTATTAATTTCCAGGTGATGCTGCAGTTGACCATTAATAATTTTTTCCATGATTTTTGACATTGCCGTTAGTATACTTATTGGACGAAGGTCAGAAACGAGGATCGGATTAGCAACTTTTGGAATCGGGCGCACGACTGCTACTTTCCACAAAGAAGGAAATACACTATTTTGAATACAAAAATTAACAAGATGTGTGACATAAGGCAGTAGAAATGGCATACAGTATTCTAATGTTTTAACCGATACTCCATCGGTACCAATTGCATTAGATTTAATTGATTTCAAAATCTTCAGAACATCGCTTTCAGATACTGTAGAAAATCTGAGAGGGATTACAACACGTTCATTTAAGTTGGAATACATATTATTATCAACGGTGGTATTAGTGCTGGGAAGCGAATCAATAAAGAAATCGTTAATAATAGAAGCATCTTGAAAGTGGTTAGGAAGCGATCTATGTTTGGACTTAATTAATTTCGTGGATTTCAAAGTATGCCAGGTCTTAGCACCGTTACCCAAATCCAAAAAATTTTGTAAATATTTTTGTTTACAATTGCGATGCATATTTGTAACCAAGTTACGCGCCGTTTTATATAGCTGCCAATGCGCGGGGTCTCGTGAGCGCTTAAAAGATTGAAGCAGTTTATCTCGATTTTGCATTGCTGCTCTTAGTTCAGCAGATATCCAGGGGGCCCCTGGCTTAGTAATTCGAGCTTTCTTTAGCGGCGCGTGCAGATCCAATAGCACTAGTATATTTTCAGTTAGAAATCTAACTTTTTCATCTATAGTCTGTATCTCGTATAGAATTCGCCAGGGCAATGATTGTAAGTGCTCATAAAACATTAACTCGCTAAAACCAACGTAGTTCCGATATGTCTTGAAAAGGGG